CTAAGAACGATTTATGGAGGACTATTTCTTCCCACCGTGCTTTTTAATAAAGAATTGGCAGGCAGTATCATAAAGTCCGCAGATTGAAGTTGTGTCTGCAGACCCTTTTATCTGACCCTCTACCTACAGGTAGCAGCCGCAGGGAAAAAATCTCCTAAGAAGGGTCAAGGACCCAAGGTCATCCACTGAAGACGTCATTGTGTTTATAGTCTTAAAATTGTGGGAAAGTTTTGTGCATTTTCCTTTGCAGAAGGGAGAACAAAATCCTTAATTTTCATCAGTTTCTCTAAAGGATTTTGGGATGAAAGTTTTTTTACAAATTACTGTTTGATCATTGCACCCGAACTTTTTTAAAGCATCGATGATATTCATCACATGATTGATTTGGAGAAAGGAAGGAGGCAACTCACAGTCTGAGGGAACCAAACCTGGCCACCCTCAGCAGATCACATGTGCATACCTGTGGGACATTCCGGACACCAGGAAGCGTTCTGAGAAGTGCCAGGAAAGATCCACCCACGCCTAGGAAGTGCCCCCTCCAGCAGTGACCAGTTCCTCCTCTGCAGCCTGCACGGGAGTCACCCACCCCCACAGTGCAGGTTTGAGAAGTTGGTCACCATCGGTGGAAGATCTGGAGAGGGGCGGTTATATTCACTGGGCAAGGCAGCTTAGTGGGACTAGATGCTGGTGAAACAGGCCTCGATCCCACGTGTAGTAGCCATAGATCTGCTCACAGAGGAACAATGTAGAAAAGTTCAAGTTCATTTTTTTAAATGTTTCTGATAAGTATATTTTATAAAAGTTTTCCATTGTACCTCCAGGAGTTGGGAGGTCTGTGTCGTCCTCCTCCTTCCATATCCATCCATTCACCACTACTGTCCAACCCAACTAGGATTCTCTTTCCAAGCCTCCAAAGGGAGTGAGGGGATCTCCCTTTATCACTAAAATCTTTTTTCTATGCGTTTACTCATATGCCCCATGCTGAAAACAGAAATTTTAGCGCGGCTAATTGGGTGGGTTGGAGGAAGTTCGGAGAAAGAGTTAATTTCTCATTAAAGTGGGGGGTCGATGCCGCTGGGGACCAACCCAGCACTCGCCCTCCTTCCGGGCGGCCCGCGGGGCACTTGACCTGAGGCTGCTGTCAGTCATCCAGCCTCCACGGTGGCGCGCTTCCCCTTCTCCCACTCGGGTGGTCCCATAACTGGGGCAACAAAGCCTAGCTCTGTGTGGCCTTGTCTGGGGCCAGAGCAGTGAGGAGGTGTCATGCCGAGGGCAGGCTCCGAATGAATAAGCCGATGGGGGAAGGGAGAGGGGAGAGAAAAAGAAAAGAAGGACGGAAAAGCGAAGGGAGCTGATGGGCAGTTCTAAGAGGGAAAGTGGGAGATAAGAAATCTTGGGATCAGCAAAGCGAAGCGGGGTCTGGGGGGACGATACCCACAGGAGCCACCAGGGGGAGCCAGAAGCTCATTCTGGGCCGTTTTCGCGCGTTCGGCACAGGGGAGGGCTGAACTTGCTCTTGGAGGGAACTCGCTCGGGGTCACACAGAAACCCAAGGTCAGCGGTGTAGGGAGAGATCCATCTGTTAGAGCCACCAAACGGCTTAAAATTCCTCAGTGCCCTCTATCCATTTCCTCAGTGCCCCTTCCTTTCCGGGTATCCACTGTTTTGTCTCTCTTGGGACTTCCTTTCTCCTCTCCCACTAGCCTTCACCATCCTGTTTGGAATCTCCTGCCTCTTCTGTCATTTATGCTTTCCAGCCACAGACAGGAACTCAGAAGGTGGCATGGTGACATGTTTCAGCAGGTCCTTCCTCACTATGCCCACAGACCACTATCTGAACCTTCCATTTCAAAAACATTCAAGTTTTTCTGAAACATTCACAGTTCTACACATATAAAGTAGGATTGTCAGGTAACATGCAGAGTACCCCCATAAAGTTGGATCTTAGAGAAATAACAAACTTTTAGTATAAATACTGTATCACAAATAATGTGTTATTATAAGTATGCGAAGTTTTACATGGGGCGGCCTATATTTTTATTTGTTAATGGCAACTGTCCATACAAGTAAAACAAAATCTCAAGGCTAGTTATGTGTGTCTCTACAAAGTGAGACAGGTGAAAGAGTTTATGTGCTGAACGAGGGTCTTCATTATAAAACAGCCTGCCCCATTTTGAATTTCTCTCTGAAGGTAAAGTGCAGGTCTGACGTTTCCTACTATTTATTTGTTCTGGGGACATTATCACTCATTATGTGCTTATAAATCTTGTGGTTGTGGCAAAAAGGCCTGCTGGATCACCTTTAAGACTTCACAGAACTGTCTTAGGCAAATAGTGTTTCCGTTATCCATGCTAGAAATAATTTTTAAGACTCACATCTGTTTTTCTTTTCTTCCCTTTTTTATTTTCTTCTTTGTCTCACTCTTTGTCCCCCCCCCCCAACATAAAATCTTTTCTGTAATTCAGTTCAGGGCTGAAAAATTTAGCATTCACATATTGTTTTCCAATGATAGACACATTTTTTTTTTCATTTGGAGAGGAATTTTTTAAAAAGCACATTTAAAAAAAAATATTGTGCTACTCAAAGACATTTTCCTATCACTATAAAGTTGGGAATGAGGGATTTTTCAAAGCCTCTCCCAGAACTCCAGCCTCCATGGATGGGAGTTATACCCACAAACACTCCTTTTTTTCAGCCAAGGCTGTAGGATATGAATGGCTAGGCCCAACTGTTTCTTCAGAAAGAGAACAAAATTAAGTCATAAATTATTTCCTAGTCATGACATATGTGCAGCCATGTTAAAGATGGCAGTGATTGCCAGCCCAGTGGCACAGCAGTGACACAAAGTGACACAGCAGTGACCTGGGAATGTCCCAGCATCTTCCTGTGCACACAGGTATGTATGCATGCCATAATCTGGGCTGGCTGGGGCTGGAGTGGATGGCAATGTGAAGGCCCTGTTTGGGTGCCTGTCTGTCTGTTTCCCTCTCATGACAAAGTAAAAAGAAAAAAAAATTTAAGTTAAAAAAATATATATATATGGCAACAAATGTACCAGAAGGTGATAACTGGTGACAATTTTTGGATTTCTCTTCCAACCTCTAGATTCAGGGGACTGGTCATTCCAAGTCCTGAAAGCAGCCAGCCAGGAGCTTCCAGACATAGCTGTGGCAGGAGGAATAAAGACCAGCCGGAAGTCAGCTCAGTCCAGCACCATGAACTGATGACTGGTCTGCACTGGAGAGAGGTTAGCATGCAGAGACTTTGTCAGCAATATAAGGCTGAAAATCTCACCAAATTCCACTGCCTTGGCACTTCCACGCTTCAGTGAGGCATTCTTTGATAAGCTGATGAGGAGATGTTAGACAAAGAGAGAGAAAATAAATGAGAAAGCTGGCCTGTGTGTTAGAGAGCTAACACAGCTAGACTAAGCCTTGGCTTCATGCTTCCTAAAACCGAAAGGCCTTCAGCTTCAGCATGTGGTTG